TCAAAGCCCAAGAAATTTGTTGACACCCATCATGTGAGCAGGGTGTTTGCAAATGGGGGGGGGGGCTGCGCCCCCCCCAACCCTCCCCGCTTCTTTTAAGCTGTACCAAGCGTGCTTCAAAGCCCAAGAAACTAGTTGAAAAACATCGTGTGTGCATTGTGTTTGCAAATGGGGGGGGGCTGCGCCCCCCCCAACCCCCCCGCTTTTTTTAAGCCGTGCAGAGCGTGCTTCAAAGCCCAAGAAATTTGTTGACACCCATCATGTGAGCAGGGTGTTTGCAAATGGGGGGGGGGGCTGCGCCCCCCCAACCCCCCCCCGCTTCTGTTAAGCCGTACCAAGCGTGCTTCAAAGCCCGAGAAACTAGTTGAAAAAAAAGTATGAATCCGATGAAAATATAGAGGGAATGATAGAAACCAAGAAAACGAACCAAATAGGGTTTTCCCTAGGACAAACTAAGGAAAAGCAACGTACGCTTTGACGTTTGACGAAATCCGTCCAAAATGTAATCAGAAGAGGGTTTCCTTAGGAAAAACAACGAAAACCTCGTTTTTTTTTCAAGCCGTGCAGAGCGTGCTTCAAAGCCCAAGAAACTTGTTGACACCCGTCATGTGAGCAGGGTGTTTGCAAATGGGGGGGGGGGCTGCGTTTTCCCCCAACCCCCCCCCCGCTTCTTTTAAGTCGTACCAAGCGTGCTTCAAAGCCCAAGAAACTAGTTGAAAAGCATCGTGTGAGCATTGTGTTTGCAAATGGGGGGGGGCTGCGCCCCCCAACCCCCCCGCTCTGTTTTTTTTTTGAAGCCGTGCAGAGCGTGCTTCAAAGCCCAAGAGGTGTTTGCAAGTGGGGGGGCTGCGCCCCCCCAACCCCCCCCCCAGGATATCTGTCCAAAATGTAAGCAAAATAGGGTTTTCCCCTTAGGAAAAACCAAGGAAAACCTAAGGGAAATTACAGGAAAACCGTCCAAAATGTAGAAAGATAGGTTTTTCGTTGTTGTTGTGTGAGAGGTCGACAGCAGCCTGGGCCCGAAGGTGGCTAGCTGTCCATATCTTTCCATAAAACCAACGAAAACCTAAGGGAAATGACAGAAAATCCGTCCGAAATGTAAGGAAAGTAGGGTTTTTCCTAGAGAAAACCAAGAAAATCGACCAAAAAAAAAAAAAAAAAAGGCCCAAAAAAAAAAAAAAAAGACCCAAAAAAAAACGCCACCCGTTGGGCACTCCGAGTCTCTGGGTTGGGCACTCCAGGAATCTTTGGGGTTGGGCACTCCAGGGAGACTTTGGGGTTCGGGGGGTTGGGCACTCCAGAGAGTCTTTGGGTTGGGCACTCCAGGGAGACTCTGTGGTTAGGAAAAATTTGGGGTTGGGCACTCCAGGAGTTTTTGGGGTTGGGCACTCCACGGAGTTTTTTGGGGTTGGGCATTTCAGAAATTTTTCTGGTGTTGGGCACGCCAGGGAGTCTCTAGGAGTAGCCCGGGAGGAGAAGAGTTCCGGGCGAGGAGAAGAGTTGAGTTTAAAATCTAACAACCCCACACCCAAGGTGGGGAAAAAGAGTAACAATAGAAACTAGGGTTTAGGGGGGGGTTCGGGTTGATAGTCGTCAAAAATAACGATTTTGGGCAGGCCGTGGGGAGGGTTTACATTTTCCCTTATTTATTAGGTAAAAGAGGATCATATTCGGGAATGTTTTTCAGAGTGTTTTAGTGGCCATCCGTGGATGTATACTCTAAGACTAACCTTAAGGGTCCATGTACCTAAATAGGGAATACTTGGGCTTTAAAGTACTACCTGTTTAAGGAGTTTTTGGGCCCAAGTATACAATAAGGTGCATGGACCCTTAGGGCATTTTCCTAAACTGAAAGGCATGGGGCCCTCACCCCCGTGGCTGCATAGCTTGTGGTTTCTAGACTAAACCTAAGACGTCCCCTGGTGGGGGTTGAGAAGGGTTTAGGTCCCGGTTGCAAAAAAAGGGGTTTAGGGTTTAGAGTTTAGGGTTTTTACCCTGTAGTTGCAAGGACGAAAGTGGCTATACGGCTGCGCACTACGCCGCAAGAGCGGGGAAGTCGAAAGAGGAGAACCTCAAGCTTATCCAGAGGTCATAGGTAGCAATAAGCAGGGTTACAGGTTCCCTAATTAACCCCTAACCCTGAACCCTAAACAGCGTTAAGTATGACCCTAATTACCTGCATCCACCCATGAACTAGGGACTGTCAGGAGAGGCCCTAGTTTTCCCACGGGCCCCACAGATGGGTAAGGATGACTTCCCCTCGAAACCATCGAGAGTTGGATCCCATCTTGCTGAGCCTTAAACTGACTTGGAGGATCATCGGTAACTATAAGTAGGGTTAAAGGGTGCCCTAAATGGGGTGGTAAGAAAAAGTCGCCATACTTATGGTATAGCTACACCCCCATGAACTTCCCTGGGGCCCCATTTACCTACAGTTGAAGAGCAACTACCCCGTAATTCGCAGGTAGAGCCCACATACAGAAAAGAGAGTCCCAGGTTGCAGGTATGCCTCGAAAATCCAAGCCCTAAACCCTAAACCCTAAACCCCTAAACCCCTAAACCCCTAAACCCCTAAACCCCTAAACCCCTAAACCCCTAAACCCCTAAACCCCTAAACCCTAAACCCGAAGCAGGACCAGTCGAAACTACTGGAGGTGCTGAGGACCGCCTTACCTAGGACCCACAGAAGGCCCTTGTTGCGTATTTGTTACGGTTTATATGGGTTCCCCCAGAATCCCCTTTAGGGTTTAGGGTTGAGGGTTTGGGGTAACTAGGCCCTTATTCCCTCTTTTTTTTTTTATGAGCATTCCTTATAATCCCCTGTAGTAAACCAAGCAGGGTTTAGGGTTTAGGCTTAGGGTTTAGGGCCGGGTTTGGGGCCTCGAGAATTTGGGTGGCTCTATGCCCAACGAGGCCACGACCGGGCACCTTATAGTTAAGGAATATGCCTTAAATCATATAAGGATCCCTCTAGAAATGGTTTAGGGTATGTTCCTTCAGTATGGGGTTTTTGGGCTCCCTGGGTCAGTCCTCATCGCTGGAGGCTCAGGTTGGCCTGCAGCGACAAGCCGTACTGGGTATGTAATTTTGTATAACCTTATGTAGGGACCTTACAGCCAACTACCCATGAACTTATAAGCCTATTTAAACCCTACAGCTAACTACCCATGAACCTCCAAGTATGGCCTGCAGCGACAAGCCAGAAGCCAGTTTCCCACCTGTTTGGACCAATTTTGGGTATGGGATCCCCCTGAGCCCTACCCCTTAACCCTAAACCCTACAGGACGGCCTCCGCCGACGAGGCTGACTTCTGGCGCAGCGGCTCGGTCTTGGCGGGAATGCGCTTGCGCGACGAATTTCGGGCCTTAAAACCCCTTCATCTCCCCCATAAAGGGTCCTTGGGGCTTAGGGTTTAGGGTACCCCCAAAAATACAAAGTATTCATCCGTATCAGGGCAATATAGGGATTATCTTTTTTGGGGGAGTTCTTAAGCAGATCGTTGTCATTAAGGGGGTTTTTATAGTAACATATCATACCTTAGACCAGATTGTGACCTTTATCATGGTTTAAGGTACATTCCTTAATAAAGAAACACTGAGCTTTGGGGGTTGTCGGTCGTCGGAAGTCAGATCAACAACCAACAAAAGTCATCCCACACATCTCACCCTTCAAGAGAATCAAACAATCGGCCTTAAAGCTTTTAGGCAGGGTTTACAGGGTTTGGGATTTCAGGGTTTGGGGTCTTTAGCTTGTGTAGAGGTTTAAGGGGTTTGGCCTCATCTCTTGAGGGCTTTTTTTTGTTGAGGAGTGTTGCTGGCATTGAGGAAGGGGGAAGATAGTAGGAGCATAATGGGAATGTACCTCTATTCCCTTTACATTCCTACTATATTCTTGGGGTTCCCTATGTGGGGTTCCCAGTAAGGTCCCTAAACCCTAAAACCCTAAACCCTAAGCCCTAAGCCCTAAACCCTAAACCCGCTTCAAGGTGTGGATTTGCAGAAGCCCCGCGGCACCAGCAACGCCAAGTACCTGTCCCGGCGTGGCGGGCATCATCGAATCCCATTGGAGGCCCTTTTAGGGTTTAGGGTTTAGGGTTTAGGGTGTCGGCGTCATGTCCTAAACCCCTTTTTGGGCGAAATGCAGCCCTAAATATTAAAAGCCCATCAAGCCCTGAAGCCCCAACATAAACACCTAAATACCATGAGCAGCCCAATATCGAGAAAGCTTGCCTAAAACCCTAAGCCCTGTAAACCCTAAACCACCATTCCCCCGGTAAACCCTACATAAGCTTGATTAATCCTGAAAGCCTAAATCCTGAATCCTAGAAGCCCGAAGCAGTAGATACCCTAAACCCTAAACTCCACAAAGCCAATAACTCAAAACCCTAAAGTCCCAAAGCCGAAAAAGCCCTAAACTCCTAAACCCTACGGCCCAGAAACCCTAAAGCCCTATCCATAAAGCCATGCGCTCTAAACCCTAAAGCCCCAGAGCCTAAAATTATAAAGCCTTAAATTCTAAACCCCAAGCCCTAAACTCTAAGACCCGACAAGTTTGACCTGAAGCCGACCTAATCCCCAAGAAAAACTGGTGTAAGGTTTAGGGTTTAGGGTTTCGGGTTTCGGGTTTCGGGTTTCGGGTTTGGGTTGGGGGTTTGGGGTTTGAGGTTTGGGGAAACTAGGACCCAGGGTAGGCCTTTATTCCCTTGATTTTGGGTCTGGGTCTCTTATATAAGCTCCTTTAAACCACCCAAACACCAAAAAGGGCACGCTTTGTATTCCCGGGGCGTCTAGGATGGGGTTTGGGGTATGGGGTTTTTGATGCTTAGGGTTTTGGGGTTAATGAGGGTTTAAGTTGTACTGCGCTAGCAGCTTCCATGAGGGGTATTGTGACGCCGCTGTCATTTGGGCTTCAGTAGTAGAAGACAGACAAAGGGCAGGGCGGGGGGTGGACACAGAACCGCTTCCAGTGACTTCGCAGCACACGTCTTCCCCCTGAAAGCCATGGCTGAGCAGCCGAAAAAGCCGACGGGCGGAGCGTTCGGCAGCTGCTTGCTGATGGTTAGCAGGGAATGAAGGGAATTATAGGGCCCTAGATGACATATCCTTTAAGGGCTTCTATAGGGTATTAGGGCCCTATCTTCTACCCTTTTGTTAAGGGGTTCTATAGGGTACCTCCCTTCCCCAATGTCCCTACTAAGCAACATATAAGGTTGGCTCGCGGAGCATCGCGCGGAGTTGCAGAAGGAGGTGGGTCCAGGGAAGCCAGGCAGCGAGGTCCCGAAGCTCGCGGGAGTCCGCTGGAAAACCCTCAGTGAGGCCACCAAGGCCGCTTGGTTGGCCCACTGCTTGGTACCTCGTTTTTTTGCCACTGTTTGTTGCTGGTTATTTGTTGTTGCGGGTTCGAGGCTTTGTTACAAGAGGGTACCCTTAGTAGAATATGGCTATTTCCCCAAGTGAGGGTAATCTGAATATACATATATTTTTTCTTCCCAAAAAGGGTAGATCCCTTGTTCTAGGACGCCCCCCCTTCCCCCCCCCCCTCCCCCCCCAGTACAAAGACAAAAAAACACTCCTATCTTCGAAAACTCTCAGATGGTCCCCGGGCTACCTTGAGGCCCACCTACCAGAAGATCTCTGGAAGTATGGGGCCCCTTCTGAAGGTCGCCAAACCCACCAACAACAGGGTACCCTTAGTGGAATATGGTTCCTGGGCTACCTATGATGTGACTTCACCTCAGATCCCGACAAGTTGCACCCTTGGGTTGGGGGCCCCTTTATTAAAGATTCCAAAGGTAATGTCAGGGCCATAGTAGGAGTTTGTCAAGGGAAACCTTTAGGGTACAACCTTAGGGGTACGAGTCCGAGCCCCTTGAACCCTAAACCCTAAAGTTCTTCTTAGCATACTCCGACTTTGACTCTTCTACTACCTTAAGGGCTAGCTTAGTCTTAATCCCTTGAACCCCAAACCCTAAACCCCAAACCCCAAACCCCAAACCCCAAACCCCAAACCCCAAACCCTAAACCCTAAACCCTAAACCCTAAACCCTAAACCCTAAACCCTAAACCCTAAACCCCAAGGCCACCTACCAGAAGAAGTTCGAGGTGGCCAAAGCCAAGTACGAGAAAGACATGGCCGCCTTCCTCGCAGCCGGCGGCGAGAAGAAGAGCGGCAAGAGGAAGGCGGGGATCAGGTACTGTGCAGAGTCCCTTGAAGGGATATATATATATATGTATATACATATATATGTAATTCTATATATAGATATGTATTTCTACATGCATTATATATATACACATGTATGTATATGCATATATATATATATATGTATATATAACGTTTCATACTTATACAACTGCCTCTTGATATAGATTAATACAACGACTTTGTCATGCGAGCATGTGCACGGAATGCAAACGTGCAAAACGCAGGCCCGTAGTGTGCCTCTTTCTGAAAAAATCATGAAACAGCATGTAAAAAAACATCAGAAAACACTTTAAATCCAATTTGTGGAATTGTGCCCCCCCCCCCCCCCCCCCCCCCACAGCGTGCCTTTTCTGTATAAGAAATACATATTATATACATATATATATATATATACATATGTTTATTTATGTATACATGTGTAGAGTAGTTTGCGAAAATAGGGGACCCCTAATATAGACCCCCCAAATACTAGGATCCCTTTTTCAGGACCCCAAAAAAGCAACCCCTAAATATCGTAAACCCCCCCCTGTGGTCCCTTAAATGGTGTATGTACATATATATATATATACATGTGTACATACATATGTGTATATATATAGATATGTAATATAACTAATAAATATAAATATAAATACACACACACACACACACATATATATATATATATATATATGATTCAGCCCCGGCGGGCCCCCCCCCCCCCCCCCCCCCCTTACCCCCCCCCCCCCCCCCAATGGTACCCCCCCCCCCCCCTGTGGTGTGGTTGGTTTAGGGTTAGGGTTTTAGGGTTTTAGGGTTTAGGGTTTAGGGTTTAGGGTTTAGGGTTTTAGGGTTTTAGGGTTTTAGGGTTTAGGGTTTAGGGTTTACGGTTTAGGGTTTTAGGGTTTAGGGTTTAGGGTTTAGGGTTTAGGGTTTTCCCCGCGGATGGGGTACTAAGATGATCCCCCCCCCCCTGTGGTGTGGTTGGGGGTTGGTTTTAGGGTTAGGGTTTAGGGTTCAGGGTTTTAGGGTTTAGGGTTTAAGGTTTAAGACTTAAGGTTTAGGGTTTAGGGTTAGGGTTTAGGTTTTAGGGTTTAGGGTTTAGGGTTTAGGGTTTGGGTTTAGGGGGTTTAGGGTTTAGGGTTTAGGGTTTAGGGACCGTAGAGTAGGCTTTGGGGGGGGGGGGGGGATACCATGGGGGGGGGGGGGGGGGGGGGCCCAGGACGCTCGACGCTGAACCATATATATATATATACATGTGTGTGTATTAGGATATGAGGTACCGCAATCCCTCCTTCCCTCGAAGGCGGAGAAGCCAGGCAAGAAGAAGAAGGATCCGGATGCACCAAAGAAGCCTGCAGGGGGGGCCTACGGCTGTTTCCTTGCCAAGAATCTTGGCGTTCTTCTGGCTGGCTCTTAGGACTTTAACCTTTTGTGGGTTTTTGTAGAATCTACAATAAGGAGCCTGAAAGTTAAACTTTTGGGAGGGGGTTAGGGGGTTCAGAAGTCAGCCAAGGAATCGGGCGGCTTTCGCTGAAGAGTGTAAAGGCAAGCCCGTGACCGCCGTTACCAAGCTTGCGTCCGAAAGATGGAAGAAAGTGAGCGAGGACCAGAAGAAGATCTTCCAAAAGGAGTACGAGGCAAAGAAGGCCGAGTATGCTGAGGCCGCCGGGCTTGACTGGATACATTTCATAAGTTCCAGTTCCCATTATTTTTCCACCCTGAACCCTTACGCCTATAAAATTCATGTTACCTGGTATAGGGCTTCCAAAAACCTCTAAGAGGCCATGAAGTCCTACGTGCCACACAGCAACGACGATGAGGACGCCGAGGAGAAGCCTGTGCCTAACTCACTGAGGTAGTACACGTGTTTTTCTCCTTTAAGTAAGTAAATAAATAAATAAATATCTCAACATATATATATATATATGTAAAGATGTAAATAAATGTAAATGTAAATAAATAAATAAATATATATATATATGTATATGTATATGTATATGTATATATATATATGCATACATACATATATATATATATATCCCTAAACCTTAAGCCCTAGTTAAACCTGAAACTCCACGCTTTTCGTATCCGGTGCTTGAGGGTCCTTCCCAGTCCTTAACCATACAGGCATCCTGAAGCAGGTTTAGGGTTTAGGGGCAGAAATTCGCTGTAGTCCTCTGTTCTAAGTGTTTTTGGGCCTTAGCCCTGTGAAGCCTCGACCCTAGCCCCTGCTCTCTACTCCTCTGCGGTTTAGGGTTTAGGGTTTAGGGTTTAGGGTTAAGGGTTTAGGGTTTAGGGATCAAGAGGCTTGGTAAGGGGCAGCGCTTCCAGCCCAGGCCAAGAAGACGCGGCCGTCTTCGGAGCCAAAGGCAGCGGCAAAACAGACAAAGGAGGCGGGGACTTAAGACCAAAGAACGGGTTTTGGGTTTAGGGTTTAGGGTTTAGGGTTCCCAGAGTAGGACCCGGTAAACCCTAAACCCAAAAACAACCCAACATACCTCTTAATTAAGAAAATCTACGGGCTCCTAGGGAGTCCATCAAGTGCCCCCCCAAAAATCCGGGTTAGGGTTTAGTAGGGTTTTAGGGTTTCCCCAAGCCCGGATGCAAGAAGAAAGGGTTTCAGGGTTCAGGGTTCAGGGTTTAGGGTTTAGGGTTTAGGGTTTAGGGTTTAGGGATGGGTTTAGGGTTTAGGGTTTGGGGCGCCCCCCCCAAATTCCGGGTTAGGGCTTAGGGCCTATAGGGCCCTGAATCCCAGAAGCCCCGTGGAAGCTGTCTGTCAAGGACAGCGGCAAAGCTCCCAAAGCCAAGGGAAGGCCGAAGAAGGCCAATTCCATTCCACTGGGCCGCCTCTTGTATCATGTAGGGCAAGCAAGTATTTAGGATTTGGGGGTTTCGGGTGGGCGTCCCTGCATAGTTTAGGGTGTAGGGTTTGGGGCTTATCTAGCTTAAGAAGTTACATCATGAGTCTAGTGGGTGTACTTACCCAGTTTTAAGCGGGAGGGGTTTCCTGTCGGATTCTTCGTCCGCCTGATGTAGGCAATGCTGGCAACCCTAAACCCTAAACCCTGATGTGGAGGGCCAAACAGACCCCGACGGCGGCTGCCCGTACTGCATTCTCTAACTCCGCATGTGGAGCACCCTGCTGTGGACACAGAAGCAACCCGAGTCCAACCTGCGGGTTAGGGTTTAGGGTTAGGGATGTTTAGGGTTTGACCCCTATAATGATTGGCCCCCCAAATGCTAGGTTTTTTTATATTCATGACGCCAACAAGGTACCCCTAGTGTCGGAAACCCCCAAATCTTCCCGTATTCCCCGTAACGCCGTCCCTGCGTTCCCAGTCCGGCCGGCAGCAAGTGTGATTGAGCAGGTCGCCCTGCATACTTGACATGCTGTTATTTGAGGGGACATGGCGGGGGTCCGGTTAGAGGGCACCATTTTGGCAATAAAGTGATGAGGTTCTATCCGAAACCCCAAAAACCCAGGCCCAAACCCTGAACCCGAAAACCCCTCAACCCTATCTCCGAAACCTTTCTTAAAGTCCTCAACCCTAAACCCTAAACCCTAAACCCTAAACCCTAAAGTCCTCATCCGGGAGGCGTGATCTGGCTTGATCCACCCGGTGAAGCGAGCCTTGCTTGGGGCCTGATCGGCATGTCATGGTGTTTAGGGTTTAGGGTTTAGGGTTTAGGTTTTAGGTTTTAGGGTTTAGGGTTTAGGTTTTAGGGTTTAGGGTTTATCTTAGTAGCTGAGTAGGTGACTTTTCACCTTTTTGTGTGTGTGTATATATATATATGTACATAATCCTACCAGAATTTAGAGGTTAACCTTTTGCGGCCCAGGGTACTCAGCAACTAGGTCAGCGAGTGTTTGGGGTGTTTACGGCGTTTAGGTGTGTTATAGGGTTCAGGATTGCACAGATGATCTACTTCAGGTTGTCTCGACTGGAGTCAGACACCATTGACATGCTGGTCCACATGTCAATTCAACTGGTGTGAAGAATGGCAACAACATGTTGTCAGGGACTCCCACCGTGTGGCCTCTGCATATTCCCTTGCAGAAAAAGTGCTTGAAATAGGTACAACCTTCGGGGTCCAAATCTAAGAGTAGTTACATGGGCCCTTAAAAAGGGTACCCCTTTTCTGTAACCTTTTTCTGCCCTATGCACATGAAGGGCCTATGCATCAGAACCCTTTAAAGGAGGTAGGGACCACATTAAGGGCTCATGAAGCCACCCTTGAAAACGGGAGGAGTCCCTTTGCTGTTGGCGCTCCGGATGTCAGAACCCAGAGAGCGCAATCACCGGGGAGCGATTGTGCAGAGAGAGACTCCCTTTTAGGGCAACCGATGAGCTGTCCCAGCCTCCCCGAGTCGCCAAAATACCCCCACTGAAAGGAACATTCCCTTAGGGTTTAGGGTTTAGGGTTTAGGGTTTGGGGTTTAGGGTTTAGAGTTTAGGGTTTAGGGTTTAGGGTTTAGGGTGCAGGCAAAAAGGGTGCTATTGGAGTCGCTGGGCTGCTTCAAGCTTCTAGACAAGGGAGCAGGCCGCAGCGAGAGAGACAAAAGCTGGCTTCCGAGCGCTCCTGGGTTCAAGGGTTTAGGGTTTAGGGTTTAGGGTTTAGGGTACTTGGTGGTTCATGGGTACTTCCACCCCCAGTGATATAAGTCAACCTGGAACCGACTTAGAGGACGAATGGGGGCTTATACCTGCAGTTGTCATTGGTCTTGTAAATACCCTGAACCTCCAAGTAGGCCCCTGGGATGTTTGACATTTCTCGACTTGGGTGTAGGAGGTTATTTGTAGGGTTAGGGTTTAGGGTTTAGGGTTTAGGGTTCAGGGTTTAGGGTTTAGGGTTTAGGGTTTGGGGCCTCGGATTTCTCAAAGGCACCCAAGCCGACCTTACAGAATATAAACCAAACCCTCAACCCTAAGGGTTTAGGGTTTAGGGTTTAGCATTATAAGCAAGTTGGGTTCTAAGTATCGTCACTTAGGCTCTATGTCCCTTACCCCGAGCGCTAGGATAATAAGGGCATTGCAAACCCCAAACCACGCCGTGAAAGCCCGTATCCCTAAGCCCTGAACCCTAAACGGTTGTTCCCTGCGGAGTGGCCGAGAGGTCAGCTAGGCGGGTAGAGAAAAAAACTCTAACCCTAAACCTCTGGACCGGACTTCTAGCCCTCCCCCCCCCCCCCCCCCCGCAGTAAACCCTGAACCCTGAACCCTTAGGCTTTGAGTCGGGAAGACTCCCAAAAACGAGACTCGAGGGTCTAGGATCCCTGTAGCCCTCAGCACCCGAAGCCCTAAACCCGGACATAGTGGCCCCTCAACCCTACACCCTAAACCCCAAACCCTAACCCCAAAACCCTAAACCATAAACCCTAAACCCCAAACCCCAAACCCTAAACCCTAAACCCTAGACCCTAAACCCTAAACCCTAAACCCCAAACCCTAAACCCTAAACCCTACACACGTTGCTCAGACGCGAGAAGCAGTGCTGAACGGACGCTTCTCGCTCGAAGGGATGCTCGGCGCTTCTTGTGCAACTGCACTGCACACCTTAGGGTTTAGGGTTTAGGGTTTAGGGTTTAGGGTTTAGGGTTTAGGGTTGCAGGATTTTGCTGAGTTCGGGGTTTAGGGGCTTATTGGGTTTTAAAAGAGTGTTCTGGACAGGCTGAGTGAGTGTTCACTCGATGCTTCAGGGCTGTAGCATTGCTTCCTCTCCTCTTCGTCTCTGGCCAGTTCATGCATCGTGAACTAAACCCTAAACCCTAAACCCTAGAACCGAGACCCCAGACCCTAGAGACCCTTGACCTGAGAACGATCTGCTAAGGATCGCTGAGCTCATCGCCGGCGGCAGGTGCAAGAAGATTGTCGTGCTTCTGGGCGCTGGGGCCTCCACGGCGGCACCTTGGCAGCCGCGAGCCGATCTGAACTTCGAGGGCTGGAGGCCCTAATTTCGGGTTCAGGGTTCAGGGTTTAGGGTAGGGTTTAGGGTGTAGGGTGTAGGGTTTAGGGTTTAGGGTTTAAAACGCTAAACCCAAAACCCTGAATACTAGAGACTCTTTGGACAGGTTTTGCCATTCTGAGAGGATCTGGACCTTGTACATGTTGCGTCGCGGAAACGTTAATTCGTTTGAACATTGAACGGGATCTCATCCAGGAATTGCTTTCCGAGGGTGCTAGGGGCCAACCTAGGCATTTTCTGGACACGAAACCGGAGCTGTGTTGTTACTTCACGAACTATATAGTAACATATAGTACGAAAATGACTTATTTAGGGAGCAATCGCCTGCGTTAGGATAGCCCAACTTCGGGCCCCTTACATCGGATGCAAGAAGTTTCGAACCACCGGGCGACTAGCAACAAGGAGGCTAGCCATAGCGCGGAGGAGGTGCGGAGTGCGTGACCTGCTTGGCAACCCCCTAAACCCTAAACCCTAAACCCGAAACCCTAAACCCTAAATCCAGAGTATTTTGTATGCATGTACCTACGCCGGAGTCTTTGATCTTGCTTTCGGGTACCAGGAGTCTAAGGCCCTAAACCCTAAACCCTAAACCCTAAACCCTAAACCCTAAACCCTAAACGCTAAACGCTATTGCCAGGCCTGATGGTGGCACAACTTTCGCCCCTGAGCCCTGCACACCCTACACCCGAACCCTTCTTCTAACTAAGTACATCTTTAGGGGTTTAGGGTTTGGGGTTTAGGGTTTAGGGTCGGTTCCCCAGAACCTTCTGAAGCCCCTTGCACAAACGGCTTAGCAGTCAGATTATGTTTAGGGCTTGGGTCTCAGACGCCCGTGCATGCACAGCTTAGCAGTTAAAGAGGTTTAGAGTTAGAGGGTTTAGGGTTTTGGGTTTAGGGTTTAGGGTTTAGGGTTTAGCTTCCTGAGACCTTCATTTCCTGGAATGTCCTGCCAGTCCCAAGTCCGATCCCCGAAAACTTAGCTCCACCTGCCTCACCCCAAGAACAGTGGTTATAGGGTTTAAGGTTTAGGGCAGAAATTATAAGGTCCTGAAGGGAGGGGGGGTTCAAGGGGGGTAGGTACCTAGGGAACCTTAGGGAAGCTTAGGGAGCCTCAGGGAGTAGTGGGGAACATAAAGGAACCTTAGGTTGCATACCCCCCTTGAACCCCCCCTCCCTTCAGCACACTATAAAGTGGGGTGGGGAGGGGTGGAGGGGAGGTACCTAGGAAGCCCTAAAGCATGCTCTGTAGGAATTCGTTGAGGGTTTAGGGTTTGGGGTCTATAGGGTTTAGGGTTCAAGGTTTCGGGAAGTTTTGGGTTGCTTAAGCTAAGATTTTCGTTGAGGGTTTATGGTTTGGGGTCTATAGGGTTGAGGGTTGAGGGAATTCTTGGGTTCCTTAACCCTAAACCCTAAACCCTAAACCCTAAAATAAGGTTTCCCCGAGCCTACACCGAGGCCGGAATACCCGACTTCCGCTCAGCCTCGGGGCTCTGGGCACAGGCTCGCGGAAGCTTACGAGGTTTGTTGGTTTAGGGTTGAGGGTTGAGGGTTGGTGTGGGAGGTTCGGAGGTTCATGTCCCTATGCAGGCACAAAGCGTCCCTAACGCTGTCCCTTCCCTGGAGATTGGGCCTTAACCTAGACATAGGGCCTTAACCTGAAACTTTCAGCTAGGCCTCAGACAACATTCAAATTATCAGTGTTTGTGTTGGGGTGGCGGGGGGGGGGGGGGGGGGGGGGGGGTGGAGGGTAGTAAAAACGTTGTATAAGAAAACGGTTTTCCGGCACTAGGGTACCCCAAGTTGCTTAGTAACCCTAAACCCTAAACCCTAAACCCTAGATGGTGTAGCAGGGCTGGGAGGTGTCGGGAGTGGCGGCATTCATCTGGTTTGCTTGGTCACGTTTTGAGTTTAGGGTTTAGGGTGTAGGGTTTAGGGTTTATAATATATAGGGTTTAGGGGAGAGAGAAAAAAGATGCATTCGCCCCAAAGAGCCCTTAGGAATACCCTGTAATTCAGGCACATATACCTTACATCATCATTTTGGCCCCTGTTTGGTTAAAGGTATATTTCGGTATGTTGGGCCGTAAGCCCTAAACCCTAAACTGCCCTAAACCACCCTAACGAACCCTAAAACCTGTTCCTGAGTTCGGGCTCTCTGGTTCTCCGAGCTACCTGACTTGGGTGCGGCTTGGGTCCTCAGAACGGCATGGTGAAGGATTTCGGGTTTCGGGTTTAGGGTTTGGAGTTGAGCATTTATGGGTTAGGGTTCAGGGTTCAGGGTTGTGCAGTCTAGTACCCCTTAAAGACGAGCAAGCCCGCACTCATAATGTAGGACATCTCTGCAGTTTTCGAGGAATAGACCCCTTTCTGAAAAGGGTTTGGGGTTTAGGGTTTGGGGTTTGGCGTTTAGGGTTTAATGGTTTAGGGTTTAGGGTTTAGTGCAAGTTGGATATTGGGCCTTGTCTGGGAAATCGACTCGATGGCCGCAGGCCGCGTCGCGCGAGCTCTTCTCGCACGAGGCACGCCTGTCTAATCACGAAGGATTCAGACTCGCACCCCTAAGGCCGTACCCCTAAAGGTTCCCCTTAATATACTCCGAATATGGCCCTTATATTCCCTTTGGGATCCTTAAAAAGGG